AAAGTGGTGGGTGGGTGGAGAGTGAGATGGGCAGGTGAATGAGTAGGTGGGTAGTGGGTGGGTGGAGAATCAGATGGGCAGGTGAATGGGTGTAAGGTGGTGGGTGGGTGGAGAGTCAGATGGGTGGATGAATGGGTGGGCGGGTAGATAAGAACAAGGCTCTGAAATGCTGCTGGGCAGGGGGAGCGTGGACCCTGAGCACTTTGGGGCACAACTGTGTCTAACACTCGGTCCACCAGGAAAGCAAAGGCACCACCAGAGGAGCTAGGGGGAGATGCCGAGCCTTCCCCTGAAACCTAAACCCACATTTGACGTCTTCCTGCTGACCCAGACATTCTTCCTCACAAGGAGTCCAGCCAAACCCTGCTCCAGAAAATCAAATTATGGGGCCCGAGTCCAATCTGGGTTGAGGAATTAGAGGAATTTCCCAAGGGTCAGGCCGGCAGGGGGAGGCAGGCAGGAGGCCTGGGCTCCAGTCCCGACTCCTCGCCGGCCATCTGTCGGCACACGGCCAGCTGTCCCCCAAGAGGGAAGAGAGGACTGGCCACTGGGCAAACCTCATTCTGCCCCCGCCCCCCATCTAGATAGGGAAGTGGTGTGAGCAGAAGCAGAACCCTGGCCTGGTGGCTCCAAAGCCCACTTTGCCTGGGAGGGCATCACGTCCCCCACCCTTAACACTGCCAGCATGGTGACTTGCTCCCAGCACGGCTGGCCAGGCCTCATGGGGGCCCATCTTTACCCTGTCACCCCTACTGTGGTCAGACAGTGCCCGCAGCTGCAGGGATAGCTTCTGGCCAGCCCAGAAGGATGGGCACTGAGCCAAGGCTGGAGCAGGAGGCCTGGGCCGGGGAGTTCACACAGGGCGGAGTCCGTGTCTGTCCATCCCCGCCAGGACCACAGTGTTGCTCGGAAGTCAGTGTCAGGCCTGGGGTGTCTGGGCGGGAGGAGGCTGTTCTTAACCTCAAAGCAGTGGGACAAACTGCCAAGGAAAGACAGAGCAGCTCAACTTTGTGAGAACCAAGCATTTCTGTACATCCCCCGCCAAAACAGCATCACGGACTGTGGTTATGGTGTTTTGGTTTGGGTTTTAAAGTGACACCGTTTACAGTAACATATGCAGGGCGTGTTTCAGACGAAAGACAGGCAATGGCTTTTCTTCTAGACCTTGACTTCATCACGGCAGAAGCTGGTGAGGGGCACACGGGGAGGCATCACACTAGGTCCCTCTACTTCTGTGCATTTGCAATTTTCCATAATAGAAGGTGGGAGAAAAAGATATAAAGACAACCAAAAGACAATCGACACATTGGGATCAGGTCTTTGTGACAACCAGCAGTAAAGT